GTGTGTGTGTGTGTGTGTGAGTGAAAGAGCACAAATACATCTGGAGTCCAATTGGACCACACACAGCATGCTGCACAAATTGGGAGCATCTGCTTGCTTTCATCATGAGATGCTGCTGGCCGGTCACCTGGTGCTCTGTCTGTGGTTTCCAATTTGTTCTCTCACTGAGTTTGCACCACTATGAGGAAAGTCTTCAGAAGCTGGGTCTGTCTCTGTGATTCCAGTGTTGACTGGAACTTAGGCTTTTGCTTTCCATTAGCAGCTGTGGCATTTCGGCGCATATCCTTTTTAACGGTCTGCTGTTTTCTTCCTCCTAGAGGCTCTTGCTGTTGAAGAAACACTGTCTCAGCTGTGCTCAGAGCTGCAGGTAAGTGGAGCAGTGACCCTGGCCTGAGGAAAGGAAGCCGCCGTTTGGGCAGCCAGCCAGCCCATCACTGGCTGAGGCACCCACCCCTGAGCTGTAAGTGCAAGAAGCCAGCAGTCCTGTGTGCTCATGGAGGCAGCCCTCAAAGGTCCTCCCCAAGGAGATGGTGTGGGAGTCTTTAAGGGCAACAAACAAACAGAAGTGGTCTCATGTATGGGGAAAGATAAGAGGGAATAAGGACAAGAAAAGAAATAACTGATCTGCACATGCAAAATTCAGCACTGCAATTCTCCCTTGGATGCACATTCAGAAAACAGCAGCATTGCACAGCCTGTGAGGGACGCGTGGGCCCTCTGGCCTGAGCAGGCCACACCAGCACCCGCAGGGGCCCAAGTGAGGTGCAGAGTGGGCTTCAACCCTTTCAAGCTAGACAAAGTGTCCCTCAGATCTCAGGAACCAATTTACAGAACTGTTAACAAAGAGCCCAGGCATCAGGGGCATGTCTACAGGGAGCTCTTAAGGGATTATGACTTCCTGTTCAGCTGGTTGTCTTGTAAAATCTGTGACAAAGGCAAGCAACTAAGAGTTTAGGAAGCTCTGCTGTTTGTTCCAGTTCACCCTTGATTCCTAACAAAGACTATGTTCTGTTCTTTGAATTTTTATTAATGGGAGTGGGCTGGGGTGGGCCAGGGACATAGCTCAGTGGCTATGCACCTGCCTGGCAAGTGCAAGGTCTGAGTTCTATTCCTGGTAGCAAAACCAAAAATAAAACAAAAGCAAAACTTTAACTGGAGAAGGAGAATATCTTAGAAGGGGGAAAACATGGTTTCATTATGGGGACAGGGTAAATGGGACAGGTACCTCCTGCTGTCCTTTGTAATCTTGAGGACACTTTCCTATCTCCAAACTGTGGAGGGTCTGAGTAAGGAAGTCCTGCCCTTCTCTGCAGGAGGCATACTCGGATCAGGAGGAGGTCAGGCTCCTTAGTTTGAGCAACACAGCTCACTGATGTGGGAGGCAGGACGCAGGCTATCCTTGCCACTCTGGACAGCTTGCTAACCTTTATGAACCCTGAGGGGTCTACCTGAAAGGTGGAGTTGAAGTCATCCGGCTCACTATCCTGGAAGCTGTCCCAGTCTGCATTGCGGATTTGCGTGGAGTAGTTGTAACACAGGCATGACGAATTAAACTTACCCATTGGGGACTGACAAGGTCGCCAGCCCCTTTAACTCCCCAGACACCTGGAGGGAAACATTCCAATTTTCTCATGATACATGAGCCTTTCTGGCAATCTGTCTCTACCCTAGAGCTGGCTAGGGGCCTACAGAAATTCACTTCATTATAATAAACTCTGTCATTTGGAAGGACTCTGGAATATAAAAGATGCTCCTATATATGGATATTACTAGGGTCTTAGAAGTTCTCTGGCAGGAAATGGGCTCTAAAATGTACCAGGTTTGAGCAAAATCTACAGTGACTATTTCAATTTGAAAAGCACAGTAAATGCCCTACTGAGCCTGCTCAGAGTATGTCCCCTCATTTCCCATGTTCTGAAGCAGCTCGGAAAGATGTCTTTCATGAGTTTCTTCATGGGGATCACAGATGCAGAGAATGCTGCTGCCATGTGCCCTCCAATGCAAAGCAGTGGAGGTGTGGTGTGTCGGCACCCACCTTAGTCGCCAGCGGTGGCGTCCTGATGCTTCCCGCTTTCCCAAAGTTGGAAGCAGTGGGGAAGGCAGCATTCTGAGGCCATTCAGGACAGCAAAGCACTCAGCCCAGTGCATCTACAGATGCCCAAGAGGGAGGCCTTCCAGGGCTCACCGGCTCACATTACTGCCAAGGGAATGTGTCTGAGGCAGCACCCACGTGGTGGTAGGCTCCAGGCTGCTTGACTGCTGGGGAAAGTAGCAGCCCTGCTCAGGGCAATGCTGGCTCTGGGCCCAGGATTCCTATGGCCTTCTGCGTAGCAGACCTGGGAGTGGGAGGAGGGAAGTCCTCACTTATCCCCATTTACTTTAGGAAAAATGGACACACAAGAGTGTGGCTTCCAAGTCAGTGGACCGCTAAGCAGTGGTCCCCGGAGGCCTCCTGCTTTCTGCTGCTGTTTGCCTAGACCTTTTCCTTGCAAGGGTTCAGGTGGGATGCTGGGAGGAGAGGACACAGCCTACCCCAGCCCTTATCACACACAGTTCATGGGGCCAGCTGGTCACTTTTTCTCTTTCAGGCACTGCCCCAAACTCCAGGAGCTTTACCTCCTAGAACAGTGGGAATATTGTTGCTTCAGGCTTTATTTTGTAATTTGATTGCTTTACAAAATGCTATTTGGCAACTGCTGCAGGGAGATGCCTGTGTGACAAGGGAGATGGGGTGAATGGGATGAGCATCACTCTGCTTCTTGCTCTGTAAAGGACTGACCCGCCTAGCAGTCTGGTTGGAAGAAGTAACATCCCTTGCGCGGTAGCTGCTAGTCAAGCCTACAGCCTGCAGAGCTGTTTGGAGGTGGAGCAGCGCCACCTCGTGGCTCAGACAGTAGGGCCCAGCTCTATCTGAAACACCTGCCTGTGACAGAGGGAGTGGGGTTGGAAACTAGAGTGTGTGATTTGAGAGCTGTACAGCCCAAGAGTGCTTCTGAGGAATCTTTACCCCATGTGAATCTTGTGAGTATTTACTAAGTTCTGCTAGGTGCCAGCCCTTTGCCTTCCCCTGCATGGAAGCCAGCAGCTAAACCTCACAGCCTGGTGGACATCAGCCTTGTTGCTAGATAAGGTAGAGTTTGCTAATCCAGTCCATGCTGGCTCCGGGGAATTGAGGATGCACTCTGTGAGGCTGCAGGTGGACATGTGCCAGGCACAGGAGCAGGGCATCTCGGACAGGAAAAGCAGCACTGTGAACCCAGGTCGGTCAGATGGAAGACTGCGGGCCGGGATGGCAGCAGGACCCAGTGTGTGAAACCCTGAGCGCTGCCTAGGCTCCCCGGTTAGGAGAGGGTGTGGGTGCTTTCGTGTATCCCCACCTCTATGAGGCATCACATAGGCTCAGCGACTAGCTGAGTAGCTACTGAAAAGCACTGTCTTTTGCTTGTGTATTTTGTTGTTATTTTTTAAAGTGTTTTTAAAATTTATTTATTTTGTATTTTTAGGGTCTATAGGGTGTTCAAGGGTCTCACTAATAGATCAGACTCATAGTGATCTGCCTGCTTGCAGCCTCCCAAGAGCTGGGATTACAGGTGCGCACCACCACACCCAGTCTCATTCCCGTCTCAGTGTGCCACGGGGGCGGGGCCAGCAGGTAGGCTCAGGGATCGAACCCCAGACCCTGAACCTGCTTGCAGGTGCTTTAATCTGCTAAGCTATTTGGCTGGCCCAATTTTTTTTTAATTTATTTGGTACAGGTTGTAGCTATGCAGCTCAGACTCATAGTGACCCTCCTGTTTTAGGCTCCCCAGGGCTGGGGTTGCAAGCGTGTGCCTCCATGCCCTGTTTTGATGGCCGGCGCAGCATGTCCAGGGTTCTGGGGCCAGCACGGCATGTGGTACCAGGAATGGAACCCAGATTCTTGTGCTTGCCAAGCAGGTACTTAGGCTGCTCAGCCATCTCCCCAGCCTGTTTTTTTTTTTATATACAATAATTTGTAATTTTCTTTAATAAAAGGATTGCTACTGCTTGCACCCCATAAGCTTCGGGGAGATGCCAAGTGTGCCTGCCGGAGCCGCACCCACGGCTGGACTCTTCTGATCCTGTCGAGGCAGGGGTGCTGGAGCTCCAGCTCTTCCTTTCGGTGACAGGGAAGGATAGGTGGCGAGAACAAAGGGGGTTCAGGAGATGTAGAAGAAGGCAGGGAAGGAAGGAGGGAAGAAGGAAGGAAAACACACTGAGCCTTAAAATAGTGGACATTCTTATAAAATCCCACAGTGAGATAGATGCACAAATCATGGACAGACTATTTCATCGAGTTGGTATAAAATACTGCTTTAAGCTCACTGTTACAGAGACAACACTCAGCAAACCAGTGCTTTTTTGGTACCTCTGTGTTAACTGTACTGTTTATCTGGTATTCAAGTTTTCTTCACTAAAATTAGTTTTTTACTTTAAACTGGAATAAAGATCTTCATTGATAACTATATTTTTTAAAAAAGAAATACTAAGAATAAGCTCAGTTAGGGCTGGCCTGATGGCTCAGCAGACTAATGCACCTGTTTAGGCAGAGCTCAGTGGCGGGGGTTCGATCCCCAGTGTGCCATTCCAGCCCTGCTCCCAGGGCCAGTTGAGACAGCAATTGAGACTGGGCATGGTGGTGTGCACCCATAATGCCAGCACTTGGGAGGCTGAAAACAGGAGAATCACTACAAGTCTGATCTGCGTAGTGAAACCCTGAACACCCTGTAGCCCCTACCCTAACAACACAGAAAAAAAAAAAAGTAATAAGCTCAGCATGCCTAAGTGAGCAGCTACTGATTCTGAGCAGTGTGTTGTGGAGTTTGGGGGAGGTTCTTTAGTTTACTTTTCTTTCTTTTGTTTGCTTTTTTTGTTTATTTTCTTGTTTTGGCCTGTTGCCTTGCCAGAATGCCTTGGAAAGCATTGTTGCTTTCAAGCCCATGAATGTCCTTACCAGGCAAGTGATGGTCTGCTAAAACACTCATCTTGTAGTCAAGTGACTCAAGTAAATGTTGTCAAAGAGCTGGCATGGAATTTCCAAGGGGCAAAGGACATAGGGAGCCTCCAAATCTCCATCAGCTTTTGAACGTTACAGTTAGTGTGAAGTGCGCACCTACTATGCACTGCTCCCTGGTGCAGCATACGCGCACTCTCCACTAATCCACCTTTTGCGAGTGATGTAGGTTGTGATGGACCTGCCCTGGACCTCCAGTAGGGAGCCTAATGCTGTAGTGAGTGGCTGGCCATGGGTATGGTGACAGCTTGTGCCTCTGTGCAGCCAGGCCTCTGGAGGGTGACCTGGAGTGTGGTTAATCAAAGCTTGCCTGGCTACAGGAGCAGGAACACGAA